TTTTTTTTTTAGAGATAAGGTCTCATGGTTTTACTATGTTGCTCAGACTGATCTTGAGCTCCTGGGCTCAAATGATGCTCCTTCCTTGGCCTCCCAAAGTGCTGGGATTACAGGCATGAGGCACTGTGAACCATATTTTTAAACTTTCTCCTGTTTACTTCTCTCTTCTGTTTTTTTGTTTGTTTGTTTGTTTTTGTGTTTGTTTGGGTTTTTTTGGTTTTTTGTGGCAAAGAGAACCAACCACATGGATGCAGAACAAAGGATTATGGACTAAAATGTACTAAAGAAATGTAAGCGGGGAGGATACATCAAAGAAACGCAGGGAGAAAACAAAACAACAAAGGACAATTCCCTTTGACTATGGAAGTCCCCTGCAGCTCGTTGGCATTGGACCCGGAAACAAAATAGAAAACAAAAAATTACCTCTGTGCTTCCTCAAGTTCCTTCCTGGTGTGATTTATGATCACTAACTTTTCTTTAATTACTTTGCCAGTGACTCAGTGGAATTCTCCTCTTTGGATTCCCCACTGTGGATCTCTTATTCCAGGCCCCTGTCAATCTGAGTTACTCTGAGTTGTTTTTTCTCAAATTTGCTGGGGCACATACTCACCCCTAGAGAAGAGCAAGGTGCCCAGAGGTGCACTCCAGAACCAGGCAACCCAGCCCAGGCCTGGCCCCTGCTCCGCAGTCTCTGCATTTATCACAAGGAGGGATTGGCTAGGGGCCTCGGAGCAGAGTTCTCAAAAGGTAATAAAATATCTGGGGCTCTTGTTAAAATCCAGGCTTTGATTGACAAGGTCTCTAGTGGGGCCTGAGAGTCTACATTTGTTTGTTTGTTTTGTTTGCTGAGACAGAGTCTCACTCTGTTGCCTTGGGGAGAGTGCCATGGCGTCATAGCTCACAGCAACCTCCAACTCTTGGGCTTGAGCAAGGCTCTTGCCTGGGACTACAGGCACCCACCACAACACAGGCTAGTTTTCCTGCTTTTAGTAGAGACAGGGTCTCACTCTTATTCAAGCTGGTCTCAAACTTCTGAGCTCAAGCAATCCACCTGCCCTGGCCTCCTAGGATTACAGACGTGTGCTGCTGCACCTGGTTGAAATTCTACCTTTTTAATGAGCTCTCAGGTCATGCTGAAGCTGTTGGGTTGAGGGTCATCTCTAAGCCCCTCTGGCCTTGCTCAGCCCTTGTCCCCAGCCACAGAGGAAGAGGTGAGTAGATAGAGCCAAAGGGCCATACCTGCCCAGA